TCCCATAGTGGAATCAACTTCATGCTAGGTGGTTCAGATGATTAAAACAGTGGAATAGGGCAAGTGGAAGGTGGGGTTGGAAATTTCTGTTTTGGAATATATCTTAATAATCCTAATGCAACAACATCATTTTGATGATTAAGAAATGAGGAAAGTTTTCTACAGAGCACGTACCTGCCAGCTTTCCATCACTTTTGTGGACTTCCATCCCATGAAGACCAGCTTCTTTTAACCTTCTGACTATGGGAACTGGATGTTTCAATGCCCAAGGATGAGCTAGAACAGCAACACCCCCAGTATGACAAATCATTTTTACTGCTTCCTCTGCCAGAGGCTCACTTCCCCTGAAACACAATGTTTACATCCTTAACCATTTTCCCCCTAACCACAAAAACTAGTAACAACCTACAAGAGCAAGCAATGTAACATTACTTGGAGTAAGCGGGTCCTCCATCGAAAAGATACCGAGCAAAGGCTTGTCTGAGATTTTCTACATAACCTGCCTCAACCATGGCCCTGGCAACATGAAGCCTCCCGGGGGCAACTCCCTTGCCAGCAATCCTGCAAACATGCTCCCATTTAAGAGGCAATTTGAGCTTGTTCAGTTTTAAGACAATGTTCTTTGCACGAAGAAAACGTCCATCCCTTATATTCGATAGAAACTTGTCCAGCTCCTCAAACCTTGTTGGTCCAATACTACTGTAATATGCTAAAATGTGAACTGGTTCCTCTAATTCTGAGTCTCCTCTGCCAGTGGATTTGCATGTATTAGAAGTGATGTAGATATTAACCTTTAATTGATTTTGACAATTTAAGTTTATAAATTTTCTTCTTTCCATCTCTTTATAGAGGAAAGAGACACAATAACATAAGTGCCAATTCAATTAAGAAGCATCAAGATATGTAATGTTTAAATATAAAAAATTACCTTGGAGAAAATATGGAACTAATTTCAACACCTGGAATAATCTTGATGCCATATTTACGAGCTGATTCTACAGCTTCAGGAATGCCTGCCATAGTGTCATGATCTGTCAGAGCAAGAACTTTCACCTGTTATGAGTAAATAATATTAATTAAAAAGGAGCCTACCACTAAAAAAGGAAACCCTATGAACAGCAGGGGATACCTTAGGCAATCGTCTTTTACTATCATGGGCAACAGGGATTTTGAAATAACTGAAAACACACAATCCATACACAAACTGAAATTGACCTTAAATTTCAGTTGACTTTCTATCGGCCATATACCATCTCTCAAGAAAGTATTGGTTGAAAATGCACATATTTCAAGAAAATCTCTGATAATATATAAATCTAATCCATGGCCTGATTCTGATTCTTTAGTTCGGGGATAATACCAAAATGTAAAGTTAGTGCAAAGGACAACAAGGGAGAGCACAACCTGATTCTCAACTGTCAGGGAACTAACAAACTCACAAACTCAAATTCATCTGACTGACTTCATTCTAATATATAGTCCTATTTCTGGTTATGAACAATACCTACCTTACAAATAATCCCATAGGAAGGTAACTACCTCCCTTGGAAGTCTGTTCCAAAAGACAGTTCCCAATCACACTCAAGCAAATTAGCACAAAATAAAAAACACAACTTTAAAAGATTAAAAAAAACGATCTGGAAAGTGAGACCAAGATTGAAACTTACGCCATTGATGTGAGCTCTCTCAATAACCTTTGAAGGGGAGAAGAACCCGTCACTGAATTTGGAGTGTGAATGCAATTCAAAGAGGAGTTTCTCCCCACCTCTCCCCACAGGCTTCTGCACCCCAAAATCATCCACAACACAGGAAGCAGCAGAAGGAGAAGAAGAAAATGATGATGACGAAGCAGAAGGGTGATCCAAGAAAACCCAATCACTGACGAACTTGAAGGCGAGAACCTGGTCATGGGTCATCTTCTTCTTGGTGCCACCCTTGTTCTTCTTCTTCTTGTTGTTCTTCTTCTTGTTGGAACTGGGTGTGGCCTGAATCACGCACCCATCTCCCGTCATTGACAGTGGGCGAAAAAAGGAGGAAAATTTGAAGGAAAATTTTGGTTCTTGGTTAGGCCACGAGAGTGGAAGAGATAATTGTTAGGGTATATCACATGAAAGTAACATAACGAGGGAAGAGAGAGAGAAGGGTGTGGGGCTATGTAGGCATGGAGACGGAGGAGAGGGCAGGGGTTACTTACCCTTAAACCGAAGGGCAGTCTTCAGGTCACAGGTGTCCTCCTCCTTAGCCCTTCGGTGTCTGTGCTCAGACAGGTGTACCCCAATTGTTATACTCTGTTTTCTGTCATGTACCCCCTGCTAATTTTTTTAATAAATATATATTTTTATTTTTGAATCTGTAAATTCCAATTTAGTTATTGAAAGTTCCAAGATTTTTATTTAGACTACCAAGAATTTATTAAAAGTAGAAAAATTATATTTCTGTAATTAAGTTCATTCATAGTTTATCACTGATTATAGTTATATTAATGAATAAAAGTGCTTCTTTGGGTAAAATAGTTTATATTAAATTATGTAACAAATCATAGTTATAATATTGTATATATAAAAGATTAAATAATTTTTAAATTATTAGAAACAAAGCATCAATGATGTAGTCTTTTATGAATTAAAATGTCATTAATTTTTTCATCTAATTTCACTTTCTGGGATCCGATTTTTAAATAAAGAACAAAAATGGGATTATATTCTTTTAAAGAAAACATCTTTTAATTTATATGATTTTGTTTGACAATGATTTCGGAAATTCTATACTCGGAATCAAATTTAAACAACAAATTAAATGAATTAACTTGTACCAAAACAACAGTATATTTTATAGGCTGAAACTGTACACTTTTTATTCCAAAAGGAAAAGAGTTATTAAAAGCCTGCACATGAGGTTGAATTATAGTGGTTGTACTTGCTTGGTGAAGAGCATCTTTAATTCAGTACATTTCATTCAAAATAAATAAAATTGAGGTCAATTTTAATTTAATAAAAACTCATGAAACTTATTTCGAGTAATTCTTTTAGGAATTATTAAAATAAATACTACTAATTTAGTTTGGGTTAGTTATTTACTTTATATATACTTACATTAAAT